ATAATGACACTGGCACTTGAATGTTTCAAACAAGCAGGGGTATGTATACTAATGAGTGTGAATGACGTTGGGTTGGCAGGCACTGTCAATATGGAGAAGGAGCTGAATATCATACAGGAAGAATATGATGCTTTTGAGGACTAGAGTAATTGAAATGAAATGAAACTTAGTGGAATGAAGTACCAGGTTATGCACATAGGTACTAAGCGCAAGAACCCCTACTCCAAGTTAGGGGCTCATAAATTAGAAACAGAGTAGAAAGACCTGGTATTCATTAGGTTGACTGAGTTATGGATGTGATGAGTCTATGGAAACAGTAAATGCAATTTCAGGATACATCAGGTGGGGTATTTCCAGCAGAGAAAGGGAGGCATTAACATCATTTCAGAAGGCACTGATTAGACCTCATCTGGAATATGCATGAAGTCCACACCCACAGTGGTACGAACAATCATTTGAAGGAGAAATATTAATGGTCATTATACAAGGCACTGGCAAGATCCTCATGTGGCATACTGCACACATCTCTGATTCCCTGTGTTCACGAAAGATGCATGCTGAAGCAGGGAAAACGGTGACCTTAAAACACCTTGATTTGTTAAATCGAGCAAAAAAAAAGTCCAGGCTGTTATGACTGCTTTCTAGAAATACATTAGGAAGGTAAATCCTACAGGTGGCATGGAGAAGGAGGAAGTGTTCAATACCATCTTGCTTTAACTTTTAGAAAAAAAGTTTTAAAATGTGACTGGGGACCTAACATCATTAATTTTACAATGTGACAGGAGAACAGGCCAGGTTAGGGAAAAATGGATTAAGGAATAAGTTAGATGTATTCAAATCATTGGCACCCCAGGAAATTCACTTTAGAATACTGGAGGAGCTAACTAAAGCAGCGTCTTCTCATCGGCAACTATTTGTGAGTGAGCATGACGGGAGGGGCATGAAAACTGGAGAAGCACAGAGTACTGTACCTACCTTTAAACAAAAGGGCAAAAACAAAAGGATGATGTAGGCAGCTATAGATCATGCTAATTAAAAAAACCTAACAAGATGAAGGTCAGTAAAGACAAGTGCAAAGAGCTATACAGAAACAGGAGAAATCCATTGCACACAGAAATGGGAAAAGCTAAGAAGCAGTACCGACAAAAAGGATCTGGAAGTCATAAGAACCAGGAACAGACTCAACGTATTGGTGTTGCAAAAAAACCTAATTTCATTCTGGGCTGTATTAACAGAAGTGACATATGTAAAGCTCAAAAGACAACTTTCTGCTCAGTGCTGGTGATACTGAAAATAGGGCATTCCACCCAGTTTTGGACACTGCCTGTTAAGAAAAATATAGACAAACTGGAGTGTGTCCAGAAGCAAGCAATAAGAATGAGAAGTGATTGGGAAAACATGACCTGTGAGGAGAGGTTGGAAAAACTTTGTTTGCTTAGTCTAAAAAAAGAGAGGAGACTGAGGGAGGCCATGACAACAGACTTGAAATACGGAAGAAAGGCTGATAGGGAGAGGAATGTGATCAATTGTGCTATTGTTGACTGAGGGTGGTATAAAACTAACAAATAATCCACTTCATTTGCAGCAAAGACGACTTAGGTTAGAAATTAGGAAAAACTTTCTAGCAATATCAAAGATAATTAAGCACTGGTCTAGGCTACCAATAGAAGTTGTAAGATCCCTCTCACTGAAAGTTTTAAAAAACAGGTTAGACATATAGGGTGCCTGTACATGTTCGGGGAGGCTGCTCCAACACACTGTAATTACAATGTAATTTGATTAATCGAGTCTGCTGGAGCATGCTAATTGGCATGCTCCAATCAGACAGGCTCTGTGTCTCGCATATCGGCATCCCTGCACCTTAACTAAAGCTTGTTGAATGAGCTTTAGTTAAAGTGCCCCCATCATCATGGTGAAGAACAGGGACACTGATGCACAAGATGCTGTGGGTGCTTTAATTGGAGCGGCTTCAAGAGCCACTCCAATTAAAGCATTCCCTCCCTCCCTCCAGCCCCAGAGCACATGTAAAATGTTCTTATTTGTTAGGGATGGTCTAAGTATGTTTGATCGTGCCTCAAAGTCAAGGGGTTTATTAACAACATAAGAAGTGCCCTGCTGGGTCAGACCACAGGTCTATCTAGCTATAATCTCACAGTTGCACTTGCTAAAAGGAAGAGTATTTATGCAGGGATGATCCAAATTGATCCCATCTCCTCTCTCTCCTCCTGTAGAGCTTCCAGAATTCAGAGACCCAGGAAATCCTAATTTGGGAGGAGGCTTTGGCCCTATCATGTTCAATATCCATTGATGGATGTACCATGCATGATTCTGTCCATTTCTCTTTTGAATCTTTCAAACCTCTTTTGAAATAATCAGTTTTTATAACATCTTATGGCAACGGGTTCCAGAAGCTGAGTACTGTGTGAAAAGAATTGGTATGTTTAAACTTGGTTCCTGATAATTTCCTTGTGTTTCCCCTAGTCCTGGTATTGTGAAACTGTAAATAGTAAATCCTTATTTTCTTTCTCCATGCTATTATTTTTTAGACCTCTATCATATCATCCCACTTTTGTCTTTTCTCTAAACTGAAAAGTCCTTATCTCTTCAATGTTCACTGTACAGAAGCTTTTCTATGCCCCTGACCATGTGTCCCTTCTGTGCTCCTTTTCTTGGAAACTACATAATTTTGGAGAAGAGGGAACTGAAACTGGGCATTTATACACATGGTCCGTGAGTGGGGAGGAGAGGGGCTTTTAATTAGAACGGCTCCAAAAGTGTCATGTGTATCAGCGTCCCCACACTGAAAAATGGCGGTGGGGGAGCTTTAGCTAAAGCTTGTTGAATGAGCTTTAGTTAAAGTGTCACCAGTGCCGTTTTACAATGCGGGGATGCTGATACATGTGATGCTGGAGCCTGCCGGAGCACAGTAATTACCTCTGCACGTGTATAGCCTCATTGCATGTGTATAGGTACTTTATGTCAAGGTGGGGGCATACTATGGATTTATACAGAGGCATAATGACACTGTCTGTTTTGCTTTCAATTACCTTCTCAATAATACCTAACACTCTATTATGTCTTTTTAATGTTGCTTAATCCTGATGGATTACAAATATTATCCATACCATAACACCAGGGCATTCAGTCTCACTGCCAAGCAGCCAAGGTGCTGCTCTTGACAATGCCAGACACCTTGGTCTTGAGTATGGTGTTATTGTTGCCTGTCAGGGTTTCCTCATCACCTGTTTTCCAAAGCTGATACATCTGAGTAAGACTGAGTAGACGAGGAGGTTAATTTCCTCATCAGCAAGATAGAGCACCCCATCACAACAGTATAGACATGTCCTAAATGACCACTTGATATCCCATATTTCTCATATGAGTAGATGCAACTGCCTTCTCCCCCCACCTCTTCCCCCACCAACTAGTGCGAAGATGGACTGTTTATGAAAGGTTGCAGATGCCTATAATGGCTGGGGACTGGACTCGATGGGCCAGGAAGTCCCTTCCAGTTTTACGTGCTATGTTCCCGCTGAAATGATTGACAGAAAGGTATGTAACCATTGTGACCTTTTAAATGGTTGTCATTAAGTTTTAAAACCCTATTGATATCAATTAGAAATAGATTAAAAGGCTGAGGAAAAAAAGAATGGAAACTGCAGTTCATTCTTCTCACACACTGATTCAGACAGGCCTTACAAGTCAGGGCAAAGACGCTGCAAGGCACAGAATTTTAATTTTTAGCCATAAATTAAATCTTAATTCTCTCTTAGAAGTGCTGGTGTGCTATACTGTGCCAAGTCTCTGGCCAGTGCAATCCCTGTGCTCCATAAAGTGGCTCCAAAAGAATAAATCTTTAGTGCAACACAAGTATTCTCAAATCTAACTTTACAAAAAGAAGAACAATATGAATGTTGAAGCTCATTATTTAAAATTATAGAACTGGATTTGTCTTTTTGTAGGAAAGGCTATTTTGGTAAAAACAAAAAAAACAACAAAAAACCCCCCTGCTATTAAAAGTACAATCTGAAAGTCAGCTGCAGCTCACAGTCCCTCTGCAGAGAAACAGTGAAACAGGAACTCGGCTGCATTCAGGCCATGACAACTTGCCCCTTTCCTGCAAAAGCAGAGGCTGGAAATCCAAAACAGGTCCTTGCCCAAATTTAACAAGAGTTCTTCCATTAGAACTGCCAGACTATGAGAACAGATGTTCTTACCGTGGTGGTGGTAAAATAATGTGGTTGTTTTAAAAGAGTTAGAGGAAGAAGACTTCCTCAACAGCAACAATGGCAAAGAGAACTGAGTGGGGAAGGCAGTCCTGATTTCCCTGAGATAACAGGGAAAACCAAACACCTGGTTTGGTCCAAGTCTCGTTACAAGGTAGAGACTTCAAACGCAGGTGATCACTGATAGATGGACACTGTGTGGTCAAGGAACTGGTGCAGGAGGGAGGGGAGAAGTCAGGAATGCTTGAGTTTGAACTCTGACTTGTGAGGAGCTCTGTGCACATGCTCTGCACAGTGCAGAAATTCCCACTTTGGAGCATGCACAACTAGGAAGATCCCAGAAAACACTGGGAGATCCGGGGAGAAGCTTATTTTAAAAACATTTTCCCTAAGCCACACTGCAGGTCCTTCCCTGCTGCCCCTGTGCATCTGGGAGGAGATGGGGAAGCGAGCTGTGCTGCCCACGCTGCATCAGTGGAGGAGTCCTTCACCTCCTTTTCTGTACAGCTGGTCAGGAGCTGGGAAGTGAGCCGAGCCCACTCAGCTACTCACCTACACTCACCATGTATTTGAGATACCGGCAGACAGAGAAACAAGTCCATGCACCTGCTGTCACAAAGGGCAGCAATCCATGTAAACGGCTACTTGATAGCCCATATTTTGATCCAGGATCAAATTTGACTTTTTCTAGGCCACCCACAGAAAAGTTCATGCTGTATAAAAACCACATTCAAATCCAATTCAAGACAGTGAAAAAATATTCTGCCCACTCACCGTGGTCTTCTGAAAGCCAGGCCATACTGCTGACAGGCCAGGCCAACTGTCGGAGTATAAACTATGGGCATGAATCTCTCGATGTCTGATGTCAGAACTCGGTAAAAAAGCTTCTCGTTTCTGTCTTGTAATGTCATAAGGACAATGTATCTTAAAAGGAAGAATAAAAAAGAAAGGAGATGCATATGTCAACATACCCAAGTTTTGTTAATTCCATCCAAACTGTGCACAATTCATGAAGCTAATGGTATTTAGATTCATATCTTCTCCCATGCACAGATGTCATAGGACACTCAGACCCAGTGCATAGTGCCATAGTGCACAGACAGATTTTGGATGGGAAGTTTCATGTAGGATTTTCTAGAGGTCTTGAATATCCACAATACTATTGTTTTTAACGGTAGCTACGTGTGTCCAACACCTTTGGGAATCAGGCAGTATCTTTAGGGGTTTATACAATTACAACGGAAACAACTCTAATAAAATGGAGAAAACTACAGTGTTGATGGCATGGGTGACAGCCAAAGACAATTTATTTAAATATATCAGCTGATCTATGAGCTATACATATTTTATGGAAATGTGCACATTTCAATTGATTATTTTCTTGAAATGTTCTAATCTACCCTCAAGATTACCAGTCTATCCATAAATGACTTTTCCCATCCAACTCCCCAGTTTCCCACCCATCACTCTTTACTCCATAGCTACTAACCCTTTTAGGAAAAGTCTGAAAGAATTTGTTAGTCTTCAGGGCTGGTGCTAAAAATAATGACAAATTATAGACAAAAAGGAAGAAATGCTAAAAAAAAAAAGGTAACATACAAAACTCAGGAAATGAAAAGGAATAGTGAAAAACACAATCATGAAGTGAAAAAGTTAGGTCACCTTTGCAACCATAACTCTGCCCTTTCTCACACATGAATTATGGCAGCTTTAGATGCTTACTTTATATTTTTCATCCGATACAGAATTTTCTGATATTAGAGTTAACTGAAGGCATTTTTAAAATGATAAAAATGTATTTCCCTTTTTGCTTGAAACTGTTTCCTTGACTAAGAATGAATTTGTCAAATTTCAAGCAGAAAAAATGATGGACTGAGGTAGCAGCAACTAAAAATGACCCTCTTATGCCAGAAATATGTGTAAGCTTAATGATATATGCTGCAATGTGCTCAGGACTCAGTTCTGCATCAGGTACCTTGTGCATAAAAGTACCGTGTTTCACAGATGCACACCAGTCTGCTGCATGCTATGTACAACAAAAGGGGCACCTCAGACTATGAGGGAAAACATCATTGTGATTTGGGAAAAAAGAGCACATTTTTTAGCCCTTAGACCAGCCACAGTTGATAGCTATGGAGAAGCAAAACACTCTCAAACACCGGGGAAAAGACACATTTAACATTTCTCCCTGCCATCACTCTTATGAACAATACTGAAGGGGATGATGGGTTGGAAACACTCTCTCACTACTCCATATGGTTTAAAAAAAAGGCTGTTATTTGGCAGGTTCTTTTTGCTCTGCCATCAGGCACTCCACTCAATACACTGATGGGTACATGTGGTGGAGCACGTCCACTCCATAAGTGACCATGTTGCGCACAATGCTATATCCCAGCTTAGTGAGGCAATTACCATCTTTCTGTTCTGCATTTGCACAGGCACCTTGCATAATAAGATCCTGGTCTATACTGAAGGCTCTTACAAACAATACCACCAGCACCTTGGGAGATGTGGAATGGAATGGGCAAGACAATGGACAGGATAGGAGAGGCACTGATGGCAGAGGGTTGGCTAATATTCTTGCTCATGGCTAGGGGAAGAGTGATCCTGAAGGATTGGCTCTGCATATGTATAGTTTAAAACAGAAGGATTCTCATATCTCCACAGTCAAAAAAAAAAAAAGAGAGAGAGAACAAACAAATAAAGCCTTGTGGACATACTTATCTAGATCACTGGATTTGGTCTCATAGGTTTTCATGACACGGAGAACTTGAACATCTTGGCTCAAGAAGCATGGAGGAAGCAGACCATGAATCCCAAGCTGCAGCCTCTCTTCAAGTGTAAAGGCCATCCCCTAGGGAGGAAAGGCCAAGGCACATTCAAACAGCAGGAAATACAGTCTGCTCTCAGTCCAAAAGCAGCAATAGTGACCCCTCTGCAGAGCAAATTCCAGAGAAACCTGGTTTTGCTAATATACTGTATGAAGGACCTGCGAAAATATCTGTTATGACACTGAAGCAGCTTCAGAATTAAAAGGAAAGTATCAGCGAAAGGTGATTCTGCAGGAAGCTAAGTACATTTGAAACTAAAAGGCAGGCAAGGTTCTTTGGGTAGATGTGATACCTTTTATTAGACCTTGCAAAGAACTTTTTTTCCAGCTCCACAGTTGGTCTAATATAAAAGATATCAGGGCCCGGGGGAGCATCTATTCATCAGAGGAGGACAAGATATAATGGGCACAAATTGATTGAATATTGCTTCAGGCTAGACATAAGGAAAACTTCTTTATAAGTTGAGTGCCGAGGGTTTGGAAAAGGCTCCCTACAGAATTGTACAGTCACCCACCCTGGTGATCTTCAAAAAACGTCTTGACACCTACCTTGCTGGGGTCACCTGATCTTTCCTGTCCTTGTGCAGGGGGGCTGGACCTGATGACCTGTAAGGTCCCTTCCAGCCCCTAATATCTAAAAAACTAGGAAACTATATCACATTTACCCAAGGAACCTTGCCTGTCTATGTCCTTAGACCAACACGGCTACAACCAACAACACTTTGAAACTCAAAAGGTGAAGATGCACAAATGAGAACAGTAGCCATAATAGGGGAGTTCCCTCAAGTGAGTTCCCCACAGGGGTATAGATTTGGCATATTCCTTTGAAGTAACTGAGACACGGGTCATAGCTGAATATAGGATACATAGACCATCTCTCCACTCTGACAGGACAATTCTTGTCCTTTACATATGGACATCTCAATGCATTTAATTCATTTGTATAGCAGAGCTGGAGTTCCAGATGTTTAACAATATGTTACCTTTGGACTCTGCCTTGTGAACTGTAATGGGGAATGTGTTCCAAAACACAGGGAGAAAATCTTAGTCTTTGATCAGCTGAGAATTGATGCTATCTTGATGCCAGATTATACAGCTGCAAATAGGAAAACATTTTCAGAAATGCCTGAAGAGTTTAAACCCCTGGGAAAATTTTACCAGTTTTACCAATTACAAACCAATAGATTTAGACCTTAATGAACAGCTAGAAGTACAAAGGAAGAAACTAGAGTGTTGCTGGATCATCTCCTTTTAAATAGGCAAGAAAAAAAGACTTATAAAACCACCACTGCCTCACTTATATGTCAGTTATAGCTCTGTAACTATTATGTAGCAGGTTTCATCCAGAGATCACAAAGGATTACCCAGAAATAAATAGCTACTGAGGGTACAGCTAAAAGGAAAACTAAGGTACAAAGAGGTTATGTGATCTGCAGGGATTCTGGTTTTCCCTGATAAAAGTCACAAATTTACTGATAAAAATTCAGAAATTCTCTGATAAAACCCCCCAAAATCCAAGATTAAAATGAAAGGCCATCATATACATATAGGTGTCAGCTGAACACAATGTTTTCTTGATATATTTACAATTTTAAAACAATTTGGAAGCCTACCAGTGCCTCAATCACTATAATATAAATTCTAAATTCCTATACATTTTGGTATTTAAGTTTAGGTTTTTTATCATGGAAAATCAGAGCTCCGCTACCTCCTTAGCTCGCAGAACGCAGGTCCAGGCCCCTCACTCCCAAGTCATAGCCCCGCAGCCCTGCTGGTGCCCCTCACTCCTGACCCACAGCCCCTTGGCCCTGCTGATGGGCCTCACTCCCCTCCTGCCCCCCCGAGCCCCACCAAAGGGGACCCCCAGCTATGGGGCCAGGGACCTGGGTCTGTCCCCTGCCCCCTGCAGTAATGCCCAAGCCCCGGTTGCTGCCCGCAGGAGGCAGCAGCTG